GTACTGTCAGAGACGGTACTATCTTACGGCGGAGTTAATTTACTGCGCCCTGAGACTGGTGCACGTATAGACTATGACACTTTACTGAGGAGCTAGTTAAAATGTGTATATAGATGCACCCACTATAGCTTTTCTCTCAATAACTTGCTCATATGCTCACACTCTATCCTTGTTTTGTGTTGTCGTACAGATAACATTTGTATAGATAAATAATTTGTACAGATAAAAAAAAGTACCAGTCCATTTGAAAATATGTTAATGCTGGATTTTCAAAGCTCTTGATGCAAGACCTAGAGCTCTGCTCCATTTTGCTTGGTTTTTAACTACAGAAAAATGATAGAGCAATTCTTGTTGCAAAGAACTCAGAAAGCCCATATCAGGGCAAGATGTTTTTGACACTATGGATTCCTCTGGGAAATATCTGGGTTTATCTTGAGGATCATGCGTAGGTGTTGGAACACTTAATGGTGCTAATATTGCACACCCCCCTTAAAAAGATAGTGTGAAACCCCAGGGTCCATGACACCCCGGTTGAGAATCACTGCTTTAGAGCTACAGCAAGACATCTGAATATCACCCCTTCTCCCCCCAGCTCCAGCTCCAGCTCCAGCTCCAGCTCCAGCTCCAGCTCCGACAGGGACAAGGGAGACCATTTCCTTATAAATAACTAACACTAAACGTTGCAAGGTGTCCTATCAGCTTCCACATAGCAGTTATTCCTATTACAGCAGGGTAACTCAACACACATCATCTATAGTTAATATAAATTGTAAATGGTTTTTGTGCTGTGTATTATGTTCTGTTGGGAAGGGTAGAATGCAAATAACGTGTACGTGTAGTCTATATGATATATATTAGAAAGTAATCCTTTTCATCCGCACGTGACAACTGGGTTGACTCTCACTGCTGAGACGTGAAGGAAAATGTCTTGCATTCAAAAACTTGTCTAACTCTATCTCAGCTGTATAGCTGTTCCGATAAAAGAGATCACCCCCTAAGAATTCCTTGCAATTTTAATTGAGACACTGAAGGCACGTCTACACATGCACATTTATGCGCAGTAACTGAAATTACGGCACAGTACAGGCATGTGTCTGCATGTGCACACCCATACTGCTCAGTAAATATGGTGACTTATGCCAGTTTGAGCGTAAATTTGATATCTGTATCATGCAGGTATCAAATTTATACCGGATTAGTTACTGTATAGATGTCTTACTGCATAGTAACTCTGTGTGTGTGGACAAACTTGGTCTAACTTTAGTCCTAAGTCAGTCCACATACAGCGTTAATGCGCTTTAATGCCTGCATGTACAGACATCGGCCTATTCCCACTTACTGCACAGTAATTTACTGCACAGTAAATTTAAGCTGGTGTAAATGCACACGTAGACATGCCTTGAAAGTGTGCAAACTGAGGAAGTCTGACCAGTCTTAATGCTGATCTCACTTGCAGTCTTACTCTGTATTCTCCCTCACATTTTTTCTCTTAACTTATGTGTTGTTCTCCCCAGACGTGCTCATTAAGAGCTGCTAGGTACTGTCATGATGCCTTACCCTGATACCCTCTGATCCTTTCTTTAACCCAAGGGCTCCTTGCAGGCTGGATCCAATACCATGTATGAGGGCTGCTGCAGTGGCCACTGTGATGGTGACGGCCATAAGGGGGCTGACGGTGGGGGTGGGGGTGTGGGTGCTTGCCCTAGCAGCGGCAAAGGCAGGGTGGTGCGGGGTCCAGCAGTAGCAGGAGGGTGGCGTCCAATGGGGGCGTCACCAATGACCATTCCCAATGGGGGCACAAGGTCCAACTTCCAGTGCCCTCTGGTCACCCGGGAGGCCTGATAGAGAGGATCCCAGAGCCAGATCCAGCTTGCGGGCTGTATGTTTGACACCCCCGCTGTAACCAGTCACCGATCGTGCAGACCAGTGCTTCCATTCCAGGACTCTGCCTTGCGGACCCATGTACCTGTTGCTGGGAGTTGCTGTCACATGAATCCCTGGGAAAACTGCACCTCCCAGGAGAGAACTGCAGGTTCACAAGCTGTTCCCCATCCATGCAACTGGAGACACCCCCATTGCCAATGCTGATCCAACCGCTTTCATTTTCCCAGGTAATCTCATTAAATACCCTTATGCTCTCCCCCTGATTCCAACCTGCTCTTCCTCCTCCCTCTCCACACTAACCTTTGTTTCACCTTGTTTTCCCCCGTAGCTTTTACAGCCCTTAGAGCCAGCACAACAGGCATGAGATGACAGAGGGAGCTGGGAAAGAGGCAGAGACAGGTGGATGGAGCCAGGGGCCACATTACAAGTAATGTGATCTGAGCCGCTTTCAGGATAGAAAGAGGGGAAAACAGAGCTTGCCGTGGCACTTGTTCAGGTCAGTGACTTTCAAAGGAACTTGCTGGTTATTTGTTCACCGAGGACTGGGTTATAGGACCTCCTGGGTGCATTTAAAAAGCACTGTGAAGCGTGTTATGGGAGCATTGTTTTACTTTCAAGTGAGACATTGTGCACTGTGTATATGTAGTAGTACATACACAAATACCAGACTTCTGAATGCTATGTGTTTCCCTAGGGCTTTCTGGATATGGCTGGATGCAGATCTAGTAGAAAAGAAGTCCTACCAAACTGGAGAGATTGGCACAAGGAAATATGCTTGGGATAGTTCTCAGCATTTAATACCCAGTGTATGCATATAAGCACGTGAGCAGAGGACTATGAGGTGAGTTATGGTACAGTAAAATAAGGTGTAAACTTGCAGCATGTCATATGCTCCACGACAAATGCCTGGGTGCACTTTTACTCCTCCTGCAGTGGATGGAAGGGACTTTGGATATTGCTGTTTCTCTCCTCTTTGCTCTATCCAGGTTGTGCAACATGCTGCTGCCAAGCTTGCTGCTCTTATTGTCCCCATATATACCATTGATTCACCAAGTCTAACCAGTTAAAATGCCAAGCAGCCAAACCCCATCTGGGAATACATGACACCTCTGGAAAGAAGGCTGTATGCTCCTCACGGCCATAATGTACCTGCCCAAACCTGCAACTTCTGAAGGTTTCTCTATACAACCTTGATTTTCCACTGCTTACATCAGTTTTGCTCTGCAGTAGCTCCACTAGCTTCAGTGGTTACTCCCAATAATATTCATGAAGCTGAGTACAGACCCTGGGGGCACCTGATGACATGGGCGACTGGTGCCTTCCGAGTCTGGGGGGCACCAGATCACTGATGGGGGGTGAGGGTCCCCCAGAGGCTGATTGCTGACCAGGGTGGGGGGAGCGGGGTCCGGCGAAACCATGGCTGGTGCTCCCAGGGGGTGCACAGCCAATCTCAGGGGGTGCACGTGCACCCGTGTGCACTCCCTACGCATTGCCACTGCCCAATGAAATGAGCAGGCACAGAGCAAGTGTATGGAAGTGCTTTTTATGCAGCACATAATTAACCTGAGGAACTCACTGCCATAGGATGTACATGGAAGGGTTCAGGAAGGGATTAGGCACATTGACGAGGGGCAGGTCCAGGAAGGGCTATTAAATACAGCAGTGAGGGATGAGGGGGATATGCCCAGGGATGGATGACTCTGCACATGTCCTATTTCTGAGTCCTCTAAAGCAGTGGTTTTCAACCTGTGGTCTGTAAACCCCTGGGGGTCCACAGACTACGTCTAAGGGGTCTGCAAAAGATGATTATGATCAATCAAAAGTATGTGAATACCCACACTTGCAACTCAAAGGGGTCTGCACCCCCATTCAAACATTTTTAGAGGTCTGCAAATGAAAAAAAGGTTGAAAACCACTGCCCTAAACCATCTGCCGCTTGTCACTGTTGGAGAGAGACCAGGCTAGATGAGCTTTTAGGCTGATTGAGTGGGACTGTCCTTATGGAAATGAGCATCTAGTCTTTGTTAATTCTCTGAACTAAGCATCTTGGTGAAATGAGATTAATTTTTCTTTGCCTATAATGAATGTAGCATGTGCGGGGAGACAGGACACTGACTTGGACTCTAAACACCCAGATAGTTGGGCAGCGTCAAATAACTTTTGTTGTGAACTGCAAGTTGCATTGCTAAAAAAGTACCGTGATTTTTTGTGTGTTTGCTCTATATTGTCATGACATGACTTCCCCTGTGATGAGCCAGCTACACCTCAAGGGTGACCTATAGCAAATAAAGGAGGAAGTTAAAACTTGAGGCCATGGGCATCTGATGCCATCAGCCACAGGGCAGTCTGCTGTTACTGCAGTGAGAGGGGATATAAGGCCGACTTGCTGTAGGTACCAGGGAATTTATCCCTTCAGCTAGGTCCTTGAAAAGGTTCTCCCAGCCTGGCAGATCCTCAAGGTACCAAGGGGATGGGACATCAACATAGATGAAAGTGGGAAGAGTCCAGCACTTTGACTCCTACCCTGGCGGGGTGGGTATCCTGTGAGGGGGACAGCTGTGGTTGGATATTGTCTTGGCCCAGATGAGCCTAAGTCTACAGAGAACGCTATTCATCCCCTCACCATCCCCCCTGGAGACCTTGTTCATGGCATTTCCATAGAAGAAGCTTCCATGAGGTCTTGGGGAATAGCAAACAGTGACTTCTATGTGGCCTTTTCCATCAGTCAATCTCCAAATATTTTACAAAGGAGGTCAGCATCTCTGAGCAATGGGGATGAGCAGAGGGCTCCAAGTCTGGGTCTCCTGCGTGGTAGTCTAGTACCTCGGGCATCGCATCATATTAGCTATGCGTCTGCAGGGCTGTCTGTCTCGGCGTGCTTACTGACATACGCTCAGGTGGCTATGTTGCCTCATTACAGGGATTTGCTCCATGCGGTGTAGAAACGAGTGGATGGGGGCGATGCCTGGGGCAAAGCACGAAGGACATGTCAATGCTGTATTCATCAGGTGTTGCATTGTGGGAACTGGGAGGTATGGCTCCCTGAGCATTGGCTACAATGAGTATTGGTCAGTGCTGCCAAACAGTGGAGACTTTCTTTTTCCCAAATACTTTAATGAGATGTAACAATCAATCAGCACTGATTTTTGCCCCTCGCACTGAACGCTGTACGCTCTCCTTGCTCTGTGATACTAGGCTCAGTTACGTCTGAGAAAGCTGACTGGCTGGCTCAAGGGCAGCTTTGTGTCCTGGCTCTTTAAGTGATGCTCAGACTGCAAATGTCAAGCACAGCTGCCTCCTCCTGGGTAAAAGCATTTGCCCACAAATCTAGTCTAATGGTAAGGAAACAATTGCATTCAGACATTCAGGGGATAATGCACCTCCCTGGTATATGGCCCATCCCAGACAGGCCTAGTGTATTGTTTTGGATGCCCTGCCTGGCTCCACCATGTTGTTTTAATGCAACACAGTCTCCACGCTCATGAAGCTTGATGGTCTACCCAAGTTGCCTTCACTCCCCCTTCCTGTGGACCTTTCCACGACACACAAAGTGGGTGCTACCACGCAGGAAACACACAGATACACCATATCTCCTCAGCAGTTTCCACATGCGTGGTCCCTATAGACACCCCAGGCAGCAATTAAAGTTGTTTTCCCCTGTACAATGGCCAACATGAATACCCACTTGGACTCGGTTGCCCCTGAAAAAGAATATAAAAGCCACAATGTGTGCAACACTCCTTGGGGAAGGGTGATTTCATTTGAGACACAAAAGCAGAGGTAGAACTAACAGCTAATAACCCAAGACACTTCTTGACTCGACGCTCAGACTCCTACAACTATGACAGCTACCTGGTGAACCTGAATGCACACCCCTGATCTGCAGCCTATGTATAGTCATGTAACAACATTGCTAAAAACTCTTTGGGTGGTCGGTCTCAGAGTATGGCCCCAATGGTCCCTGGTTCTGGTCAGGCTGGGTTTTTATTAAGTCTCCTATGAATCCACCACATTAAAAATCCCTTGTTTTAGGGAGTACACCCCATTATTAAAAAAAAAAAATCAGCTAAGAGCAGTAAAGAGTGGCGAGCTCTGAATATGCCCCGAAGAACCTAGCAGCTGCCATCACGCAAGCAAAACCAAACCACATCTACCCACAAGATAAAGGGTTTTGGGTCGTCTACTCCGTAGTTTCCAGTCCATGCAGTCTGCTGCCAAGTTGCAATGCTTTTGATTGCTTGTATCAAGTCCCTAAATAATGCCCAATAAATCCCAAACCCCGTCGAGTGTTTCTCAGTCACATTAAAGGGGAAAAAAAATAGGTAGTAAGGATCAAGAATCGCATTGCTCATCAACTCCTTATCCTTGTCTGCTGGAGCCGGGGATGTCTCTGCAGCATCTCATGTTCTTAAAGGCAGCTTCTGCTAGTCACAAATACCAAAAGCTTCCCTCGTATATGCCCAAGCAATGCGATATAGGCCCCGTATAACAGAGCAGAATTTGTTCACCGTCAGCCAAGCGTTTGAAAATGGACACTGATTTTGCATATCTCAGTTTTAGCTACTCAGCTCAAGACCTCTTTTTTGCCCTGAGCATGACTTGGGGTACCCAGTGCTGAAAACGTTGGCCTACGTGTGTGTGCTGTGCTTTACCCTGCACCTGAATCTCCAAGCTAGCTTTTGATACAGCTCTTGTTTCAACGGGACTAATGCCCGTGTCAATAAAATTACAGGAGTGAGTCCCACTTGTAAGATCACAGCTTGACTGAGAAATCGCCAACTATAAATAAAGACTTTCATTTGCTGTTGGATAGATCCAGCCTATACAAGCTGGAGTAGCTTTTGGAGTCATTTGGGCATAATTCGACCTTCTCAAAAGGTGCAAATCTCCCATTAAGGGTGCTGCTTATCCCTACATCTCAAAGCGCTTTCCAAAGGAGGTTGGCATCACCTTATGTCTGGGGAGACTGGCCTAAGGTCATCCAGAAACCCCACCGCTGCACTGGGACTTGGCCCATGGTGTCCCCAGTCCCAGCCTGATGCTTTGCTCAGCAAGCAGAGCGTCTCCCTTTGCTAACATCGGCAGAAAGTCTGCACAAGTGAGGGCAGCAGGATTCAGTCCTTACTCTTCACCTTCCCGTGCCAGCTTTCCTCCCGTATGGAGCCTCACCCGGAGACATTCAAGCTGTCCTCGCTTTTCACGGCAGTGAGCGGTCTCTGCTCCAGGTGGGTGGGATGGTGGTTGCTCGTGCTTTTGGCTGCGCCAAGACCTTCTCCGCGTGTTGCTCGCACACTGGGCTCCTCCCTCAGGTGGATTTTCTGGTGCCTCCTAAGATATTTCTTCAGCCTGTAGCGCTTTCCACACACCTGGCACTTGTAGGCCCCTCCTCTGGAGTGAAGCGCTTGGTGTTTAATGAGGTGGCGCTTTTGAGGGAAGCACTTCCCGCACTTGGTGCACTTGCACGGGCCCATCCTGATGTGGATGGACTGGTGGCGGAAGAGGTTGGCTTTCTGATTGAAGGTCTTCTCGCACTCGGGACACTTGTATGGTTCCTCCTTGGTGTGGATCCTCTGGTGCCGGACAAGGTTGGACCTCTGAGTGAAGCTCTTCCCGCAGTCCGTGCATTTGAATGGCTCGCTCATGTGGATCCTCTGGTGCCTGACGAGCTTCCGGTTCATGCGGAAGCTCTCCCCGCACTCGCTGCACTTATACGGCCCCTCGCTGGTGTGGATCTTCCGGTGCCTGGTGAGGTTTGACTTCTGGTTGAAGCTTTTCCCGCAGTCAGGGCATGGAAAGATCCTTTCCTCTTTGGGAGCATCGGTCTTGATCAAGGGACTTTTCTTGCTTTTAGCTTTGGCCTCCTGACTCTCGTTAACTGCACTGGGAGACCCTCCTTTGCTGGGTTGCTGGCATTTCTTTTGCTTTTTCTTTGGGCTGCAGTTTTTCCCACTTCCAGCATCCATCCCGGGTTCTTCCTTGATCTGGATTCTCTGGATGGTGCTCTTCTGACCGAAGGGGCTGGTGCGGTCTGCGCTCTCCTGAGGTTCGTCCTTAATGTGGGGCTCCTTGTACGTTGTGAGGTTGCTGATCTGGGCATCGCTCCCCGCACGTTCATGATCTGCATCCGTTTCCTTCTTAACCTGGATTCCCGGGGGACTAATGAGAGGTATCTTTGGATCGAACTGGCTTTCCCCATCAGTGCTTTCCTGCGGTTCCTGCTTAATGAAAGAGATCTGATGTGCTAGCAGAGGGACGTTGGCCTCCTCTTCAGTGGACGCGTCTGGTTCCTCCTTTGCCCGGATGTCCCAAGGGATCTTTGGACTGCACCGGTTTCTGTATTCAATCGTTCCTGGGATCCCATCTCCTGAAGGAGGTCCTTGCACTGAAGTATTCTCCATCGGGTTAAAACTGTCCCCAGCTTTGAAGGCCACATCTGGTTCCTCTTTAATCTGGATGACCCGGACAGACATGCCATTTGCATGCCCGCTAGCACCGGATGGCCTCTGCTTGGCGTGGTTTTTTTGGTGGACATTAAAGTACCTCTTGGTGCTTAGGCTTCTCCCACACTCCGTACAGATGAATGGGCCTCCTCGAAGGTGAACCTTTTGGTGGGCCACCAAGGTGGCACTCTGTCCAAAGCACCGGCCACAGTCGGTGCATTTAAATGGCTTCTCCCGCTTGTGGATTTCCTTGTGGGCTGTCAGGGTTCCCTTCTTCACAAAGCTCTTCCCACAGTCCGTGCATGCATACGGCCTCTTCTCTTTGTGGGTCCTCATGTGGATGTTGAAGTAGATCTTGGTGCTGAGGTTCTTCCCGCAGTGGGGGCAGAGGTATGGCCCGCCCTTTGCATGCGTCTTGTGGTGAGCGGCCAGGCATATCTCCAGCCTGAAGCACCGGCCACATTCGTGGCACTGGAATGGCCTCACTCCCGTGTGGATGCTCTGGTGGGTCGCCAGGTGTCCCCTCGTCGTGAAGCGCCTGCCGCAGTCCCCACACGTGTGCAGCTCTTCGGCCGTGTGGATCCGCTGGTGCCTTTTGAGGTTCCCCTTCTTGCTGAAGCTCTTGCCACATTCTGGGCACAGGTGCGTCTTCTGCACCGTGCGCTTGGCCGGCCTGGCCAGATCCTTCATGGTGCCAGTGGTTGGTGTGCGGACACGATCCCTTTGTCAGGGGTACCCCTCGTTCGCACGGCGGCTGCTAAAGGAGCCGGCAGGAGGAAAGGAGCCGTGGTGTTACAGGGGGAGGTGATTGGGAAGGCAGGCAAAGAGAAGCTGTAGGAGCCATCAGGATGCGGTAGCAGAAGGACAGCTGATGTCCCATAGCTTTGCTGATGGAGAGGAGAAATTGCCGGTGTTTGGAGACTCAGATACTGGGGTCCTGTGGGGGGCAAAGTAGTGCCGTTTCCTCCCTAGCTGGCATTTTACCACCGCCTCTTCTTCTAACGCAACATGGGGCCACTCTCTTCACATTCATAACTCCATTCCCAGACTGTTTCTCGAGGGGCTCCTGTACATCATATCCCTGCTGAGACTTCTCAGTCAGTCCTGGGCCTTAGTGTCCTGCATTAAAATAGAAAAGAAGTCAAGATATTATTCCTTCTGTTACTGATGTTGTTTTTTCATGTGAAAAGAATGGCTGCAGGCTTGAAGCACGGGGAACCAAACCAGGGACCTTCTGCGCTGCAAGCATGAGCTATCATAGCTCCTGTTAAAGTTTCCAGAGGTGGGGGGGAAACACTCATGACTTTTGTGGACCGGATGTATAGGGGGATCTGTCAAGCACTCCCGCTCTCTCTTTCTCTCGCACGCTTACTCATTTTCTCTTTCCTGGTAGCTTTTGTCAAAATGATTTACAAACACTAGTGAATTAAGCAAGCCCAACAGAATCGATTTTGACCAAGGCCATTATTCAGACATGAAGAAAAAGGTGCAGGGTGGCCAAAACATGAAAAAAATTAGGACAAAATCCAAGTTGAAAACACACGCAGAACTCAGTCAAAGCACTGCTCATGGGCAGGTCGGAGAGTGCTTTGGAAGGCAGAGCCTGTATTTCCATTGTGCAGATGGGGAAACTGAGGCACGGTGAGGTTGAATGACTGAGTCAGGGCCCTATAATGAGTCAGGGGTGCAGCCCATGCGACATGGCTGGGACGTAGTGCTACAGGAATATGGAGAAAATCATTTCCTAGGATGTCTATGAGTCCCACCTGGGAAGGAAATGTGGAGGTGGAAGTGAGGAAGGTGGGGGTTACTGGAAGATGCTGTTGCTGCAGGTAGAGTGTACTGGGAAATGCTCTTAAACAGGGTTCAGGTGGCTGGGGGGAGGCTGTGGCTGAGGTTATGGGTTAGGATTGTGGAGGGGTTTAAGGCAACAATCTTCTTGGTACATGAATGCTTGGAAAGCAGGGTATATAAATAATACCTAGATACAGCAATCATAGCGCAGCTGGAGCACACCTGTGGCAGGGGGGAGGTGCTAGAACACAGCGCTCAGATACAGAGGATCTATAGGTAACAAGACAGACGGGTACAGCAGAAGAAAACTATTTTTGACACTGCTGCATTGAATGTCATTTTGCCTCTAGGTACATAGGCTCAGCACCCACTTGCACATGGTATAGCAGCATTTTTCTCTGTTAATTGCTTCAAATATGCTATGGAGTAAAAAGGTCATGGAGAAGAGGTTTTCCCTTTAATCAGAGGAAGAAACAACAATGAGCAAAGTCACGGCCTGATGCCAGTGTATAGAAGGCCTGTATTATTTCTAAGCAGAACAGCAACGGCGGGAGCCTGACTGTGATTATCGTGATACCTATTAGAAATGGGTGCTTTAATTTACTAGCCAAAGGCATAACAGTACCCAGGGGCTGGAAAGGAAGTTGGTGAAGTTTCAAAGCATATTTTTAACAGCAGAACGACCAGGGATGCCAGGCAGGTCTCCATCAGTGGGAATCATTCAGGCAAGACGGGCTCTCTTTCTCAGACAGATTGCTGTGGATCAAACACATGTGATTTGGCAAGAACCACTGGGGAGGATGCCACCGCCGCTGTGTTATACGGGAAGTCAGACTCTCTTCTGACATTACGATCTATGCAAATCTCTGTTGTTCAGCATGTTGCCGGCAGTGTTTCAGCCGCTTCCTCCTTATGCCAAGTGCGATTTATTGAATCCAGATCGGCTCAAAACCATGCTACATTTTCTAGCATGCAGGGATCCTACGGGACCCCGCTGAACCAGGCAGGGACGAATCAGATCCCGGGGACTGTTATCACTGGGGTTGTTATGCAAAGTACAGGCACGAGAGGGTTGAAAAAGGCCTTACCTGAGCAATCCATGCCTCCAGGCAGGATTTCCGTCCTCCCTGGCAGTCCAAAAATGTTTGCGACTTGGCTACAACTTGCTTTGCAGTCGCATCTGTGCTGACCTAAAGGAAGTCTGTGGCCAGTGCAGTGAGAGCTACCGGAGGAAGGGTGAACGAAACAAAGACAGGAGCGAAGGCTGCGTGCACAGGGGGAGCAGAGGAGGGGATGCGGGAAGCAGGCAGAGCTGCAAGGGCTAGGGATGCTGCTGGGATAAGGGCAGCAGGCGCGGGGGTGCGGTGGGGAAGAGAGGCACCAAAAATGCCACCGATCTGCCTTTCTTGGGCACCGTTAGCTCCGGGATTGCTTCTTCTCTTGGAATGGTCTCAAGCTCGCATTGCCTTCTGGGAATTGTAGTGCTCACCACCCGGGACAAGCTCTCCCTCCTCTGTGCTGGATGACATTTGAATTGCTGGACCAAAGCAACCCGCACAAGGCCCAGCGGCCTGCTGGAGAAAGGCTCCTTTTGTCCAGAGTTAGGAGGCGGCTCCCGGGGTCACAGGCCGCAGTCGGGGAACGGCTGAACGGCGGGACAAACCGGAGTATTTTACACCTCGCCAGCAGCTCCCAAGACCCCATAGGGGAAATAAGCATCACGTCATTTGTTGCTGCATCACCAAAGCGATGGGACTCTTTGATTGCCTTGCTGAGGCAGATGAAGAAGTATTCTGCTGAGTTTGCGGAGGAGGAAACTGAGGCACTGGCTTGGTGAGGGTCAGATCCTGCAGCATACTGAGCACCACCTGCTGACTGTGGGCAATGAGACCGATCCGTGCTGCTGGATCGCGGCATTGAGGCAGGACCTCGCTAAAAGCCACGGGTGCGGTGGGGGCTGATTATTTCCACCGGCAGCATCGCCTTTGCTACAGGGACCTTGCAGTCTCCTCGAAGTAACGTCTCGAAGAGCCCGTGCTGGGACACCGTGCTTGTCATTGTAATTAATGAGCCGGGAGCATGGCTGCCCTCCACTCCAAGCCAGGTCTCAGATGTTATTCAATCATCAGTTTCATAATTGGAAGAAAATAGGCCGGGGTAATTGGAGTTTGCTAATATCTCACTGGCCTGTAGCAGATGACTCTATTAACCCCAGCTACGACACTTGGAAAATCATCATTTGGGATGGTAGATTACATAGGAAACAAAGACAGGCTGTTACTAATATCACATATGTAAACTGTGGGACATGCATATGAAGATAGAAGCCTACACACATGATACACATGACATTTGGGGGCGAATGCCTTGTCACTTCGGCAACACCTCCAGCATTACCAGCTACGATCTCAAAGTGTTTTGCATGTGGGTTAAGCATAATTATCCCCATTTTACAAGCAGGGAAACTGAGGCACAAACAAGTTGAGTGATTTGACCAAGGTCGGAAGGGTGTTTGTACCCGAAAGCTTGCAAAGAAGAATTTTTCCAACTATTTGAGTTGGTCTAATAAAAGGGCCCCACTCAACTTACCCCTGCTCCTGCCTCTGCGCAACTGTCCCTCATTGTGGGGGACCTTGATGTAGCCCTTGCCCCTTCCCTCCCCCCATGGACTGACCTGCTGGGCTGGGGCATGTGAGTGCATGCACACAGGCACGCAGCCCCCCGCCCCAGCCTTGGATCGACTCCAAGAGGCTCTGAGATTTACTGGTGGATCCCGATCCACCAGTTAGTGACCACTGCTCGATAGTATAGACAAGCCCTGATTTTTGCTAGCCGTGCCCGCTTGCTTGAGGGCACTCGTGTGGCAGAGCATCTCAGTTGGGATGGAGCTGTATGCATTGTGCTGCTGCACAGAGTCTCTACAGCTGTGGATCTTAGTACCTAATTTCACGTGCGGAGCAAGACAGTGGGCAAACTTTCTATGGGGTGATGGAGAAAGATGCATTTCAGATCATTTCCCTCCTGGCCTCGCTAGCCCAAGCGTATTCATCAACTTGACTTTCAAATGAAGTCGGCCTTTCTGAAGTAATTACCAAGTAGCCTTGGGCCGCAGCGCTCTGCTGCCATTACTCATTGACTACCCCGGGGTCTCCAGTGGTTCCCCCACCGTGGCTTGGCAGCTCATTTGCATAACAAGTCACCTGAAAAATGAAAGCCAGATCCCCAGCCATCTCCACCACCTCGGCTTGGCTTAAAGCAGCTTCATTTTACTGGAGCTGCAGCTGATTTCTACCAGCCCCGGATCTGGCCGGGATCTGCAAGTGGGTTTGCAAATTATTAGTGATGCTAATTGAATCTCTTTAGCTTTCTGGGGACAAGGCCGCTCAGCTCTCCCTGCTTCTGCCTGGTCCCTTTCCAGCAGTCCCCCTCTCCTGCAATCTTGCCCGGTCCTGATGAAATGGCTTTGTTGTCTTTGCACTTTATTAAGCATTGATGAGAACAACCTTGACGAGATTATCACGGCTTTGGTGTTCGCACGTGAAATGAGGTGGGTTTTATTTCCCCCTCCCCTGGACCTCAACTGCAGCTCCATGTTGATGGCTTTTGGGGGATCTGTTAGTGCAGCGTTGAGCCCAGATCTCTGGACTGCGGTCTTTAGATGCTACTCCAATGCAAAGAATGATGGCAGCCCATACCTAAACTCAGGGGTTGGCATCTGATTGCTTCGGCTGGATTAAAAAGGGAGCCATGGAGGCTGGTTGCTGTTATTATTTGGGCGGTGCTGGCGTTTTTGGCTGGGTGCACGCTACTGAATGCAGCAGACTCTATTCAACAGCAGCCCAGAACGGCTCGTTTCCAAAGGGAAGGTGATCGGTAGACGCTGTTATACTAAACACAATAACTGGGACTTTGGCACCAGAACAGGCCACTAGATGCCAGTGAAAACTCTTTGCACTCTTGAGCATGCTGCAAAGCCACACTGCTCCAGCAGTTTCATTTTGCAAATTGGGGATGTCCGCATCTTCCACGTTGGCTGTAGTAAAGGGTCCCTTCTGAGAGGGAGGGCAGGGGAAACCCTATATTCACATTCAGAGGAAACTTTGTTTCTTTATGCAGGGGGGTATCTTTTGCCACATCCTTTTCCGTGTGATGCAGTGATCACCAGGTCTTTCTGTGGAGTCTGTTGCTTGGGATAGTGCATGGGGGTCTCTCTAAACACACCTGGAGGAAGAAGTAGTTTGCAAGACTGGGGCTGAAGGGATCTGAGGTCCATTTCTGACTCTGCCACTTGCTTCTTATGTGATCTGGATCAAGTCACTTGTGGGCAGATCCTTTGTGGGTGTTGGGTGCCATAGCTACAGTGATATCACTGGATCTATGGTGCCTTACCCTTGCTAGGGATCTATCCTTTTGTCTCCTTGTGCCTCATCTAAAATGAGGCCAACTATGCAAGCTTTGGCGATGTAGACCATAACCTTCCTGGGGCAGGACCCCTCTGCTGCTATGAAGGCTATGATGGGGTTTGGATCTCAGCTGAGGTTTCTAGGTGCTAAATAATTACAAGTGAAGGAACCAGGGCACACTGCTGTGACTGTACCAGGCCCTGAACATAGCTTTGAGGCAAAACCTGCAATGAACTTAATTCATCACAGTGCTGATAGCCCTGGGTTTGATAGCCAGGGAGAGCAACTATTTGGCATTTGGGCAGAGGGTAAAACGAGTGAAGCTTGCATTCAGTGGGGCACTGGGAGGGCAGTTGGTATCAAGAAAATACATTATCTGTAGAGTAAAATAGAGCTCTAGCCATGGCTCATTGCACCGTGCCTTCTTAGATTCATAAATTCATAGAGGCTAGGGTTGAAAGGGACCTCAACAGATCATCGAGTCCGACCCCCTGCCCTGGGCAGGAACGAGTGCTGGGGTCCGATGACCCCAGCCAGATGTCTATCCAGCCTTAAAGAACTCAGATGAAGTTTTGGCTATCGCTAACTAGCAATCGTCAACAGGTAACAACTATAACATCCTAACATAGATTCCTAACATCTATGATCCTATCATCTAGACCCAGACCTCTTTCCTGCCTATGCAGGGGGTCGGACTCAATGATCTATTGAGGTCCCTTCCGACCCTAACATCTATGAATCTGTGAATCTATAACCAGGAATATCAAGGTTGAATTTAGTGTTACATCATTAGCACAGTACAGATCATTCAATACATAAACACGCTGTTTGAATATCAGGTTCAGTGCTCAAGCTTTTGCCCCTGAGGGCCAGATGAGTTGCATGGGACTGGTCTGCAGGCTGGATCAGATCCTAAACACCTGGATTGGGCTCTGTGGTGCTTCAGCTGGTCTCTGTGAAACAGGCTCAAGCCCTGGGTCCTATGCTGCCTCCACCCAGCCCTGCGATTAGGTCCAGCACCACTTCTGCTCAGCCCCATGTGCTGGGATTGGGCCCTGAGACTCATCATTGCCTCTGCCCAGCCCTGTGTGCCAGGATCAGGCCCTGCGATGCCCTGCACACCTGGTCTAGCAGACAGGGCCGCGGTCTTGTGGGGCGTCTTGTGGGCTGGATGATGGCACTGGGGGCTGGATCCGGCCGGCAGGCCAGGGGTGGAACACCCCTGTTCAAGATGTTTAAACACAGACCACTTTTACTTTAATTTGTAAAAGTACGGTTTTCTATTGACAAACTATCTACTAAAGGTGGGAGTAAAGGAGTTTCTCCCTGGACTAAAGCAATGAGCCAATAAAAAAAACACAGAAAAAGAAAATTTGAAACCCAAACTGAAAAATGTCATTTTTCCCCGCCCCTTGGTTACTCCTTGCATGCTCCAGGTTAAAGCAACAGTCACCCATCATCTCACCGTTTCCTCTCTGCTTCTGGGTCATCGGGCACATCTCTGCAGATACCAGCCACTCTAGCTCTTTCTATATTATTATTTGTCCATGAACAGCTAAATCCTTTAGCTGTTAGTCAGTCAAGGCAAGTTGACAGGAGAAAGAAGGCAAGATTTGCCTTGCGGTCATCTGTTCCAGCACCCCGCCATGCAGTTGCAGAGAAGGGTTCAAGCCTTCTTGCCATTACTTTTCGTCCTTCAAAGTCTGGAAATAATCTTCCAAAGGTGAGCATATACAGTGTTTGCAGGCAGCCTGAAGCAACAGCTCAGAGAAGCATGAACCG